CTTTTGGAAAATAAAATTAGTCCAAAAGGTCAACTAGTAACACCGTTATGTGGCAAATAAAAAAAATATTTCAAATCAACAGTTGTAAGAATCAAGTAACGTAAAGATAAAACTAGCATATTTAATAATCAACAAAAATCTAGATGTCCAAGACTCATAATTGACCATATTGAACAAAATATTATGTGATTGATAATAACAACGAATGTATAAATGCAGTTGCAATTCAAAAAAATTAAAAACTGTTAATCAAATTGATGTTAGCAAATGTACAATAAAGAAGATTTTACACTGAAATGAGTTGGATGCACGAGTGAAACACAAAAACCATATTTCAAAAAAACACATAGAATTGTCTACATAAAGTTTGCAAAAAAATATCAAAAATGGACCATAGAAAATTGGAGTAAAGTAATCTGATCTGATGAATCAAAATTTATAATTTATGGATCAGATGGTAGATAATATTATTGGAAACGATCTGAAGAACCATTACGCGATGTCAAACCTATAGTCAAATTTGAATAGGGCAGTATTATAATATGGAGATGTTTCACTTCTGATGGAGTTGGTAATATAGTTCAAATTTATGGACATATGGATGGTGATTTATATCGACAAATTTTAGAGAAAGATTTATTAGGAACCATTGGATGACATGGAATGAATAAAGATGTTATCACTTTTCAGCAGAATAATAATCCTAAATATACTGCCTGTCTCACAAAAAAATGGTTTGAAGATAATAATATTAGGGTGCTTGATTGGCTTGCACAATCTCCAGATTTAAACCCTATGGAATATCTGTGGAATGAAATTGATAGATGTGTAAGATGACTTGAAACATCTATTAGAACACAAGATCAACTTTGGGATGCAATTCAAAAAGTTGGATTGAGTTGGAAGTTGATGCATATAAGAAGTTAGTAGATACCATGTCAACTTGTATAAATGATGTAATTAAAGCCAAGGGTAGTTATACCAGATAGTAAAAAATAATTTTTAAAATTTTTAACATTGTTGAATTATCTTTTGTCAAATTTTCTACATAAATAAAAAAAAATAAAAGAATAATCAAAAGAAATGCATCATATAAATCATATAAAATAATTTTTTTCTAAATTTTGAATTTATTAATGTGTAATTATTTTTGCTTTATTGAATTTAAATTATTTTTGGGAGTCTAAAAAAATTTTTATGTTATGCTATACTTCAAGTATCACAAGATATTAAAATTTTAAAATTTTTGTTCAGGTGATACAATACTTTTGATTGCTACTGTATTATGCAGATCAAATTCAGAGATAAATTAATTCCTTTACTTTTAAAATATGTCTTGTTAGGATAATGAAATTTTTTTTTTGATATATATATATATATATCATTTATCTTCATTTCTTTTATATCTTTTATGTCTAATGTTGTTATATATAATTCTTCATCTTTTTCATTCAGAATAAAATTCAAAATACTAGTAAACATATCTTTTATTATTATATTACATGTTCTTTTAGATTTTTTTAGATTTTATAAGAGACAAAGTATCTGTTTTTTCCTAATACTTGTTTACCTTCTATGTATATTAAGGCAACATTTGGTTAATTTGTTAACATCATTTCTTTTGTGTCAATATCTTCAGTTGTTGTGACCAGGTTTGAAGGATATTGGTTAAGGTTTGATAAAGTGGTTCTTCTTTTGAGGACTTTATGTTTTATTACACTTTTTGTTTTGGTTCTTTTAAGTATAGGTTTGCCATAACTCTGTGATTATTTTTGTTTACTTTTTCTGCACTATTACTCTTGGATAGTTGCACCCCAAGAATTTGATATGCATCTTTTTCACTAATATTGTATAAACTTAGTTTTTCTATGATTTTTTACATGTTTCTACAATGTTTGAAAAATTCAGGAGAGAGTTGATTTGATATTAAAAATTTAGAAAAAAAAATGATATCAAAAATTTTACAAAATAAGCAAATAAATTCATGACTTATAATTAAGTAATTTAATTTAGATAATCATTTCGCGGTATAATGTTATGCAATATTTTTAACATTTTTAACGTTACGCGATATATTATTTATTTTTATAAAAATATGATAATATAAAAAACGGAAATAATTCATCATTGCTGCATCATATAAAACATTTTATTTATTAAGTAAATATTAAAACAGTACTAATTCACCTCGAAGACAAGAATGAATTGCATCTCCTTTAAAAATTTCAGATCTATATAATCAAAATTGAGAGAAATATGAGCGAATGATTATCAGTTAAAGGTTTTTTACTCGTTTAACTTTGACCACTCATTATTCGCTCAATTTTAATGATATAGGTCTAAAATTTTTACAGGAGATGCACATCATTCTTATCTTTAAGGTTACTTGGTACTGTTTTTGACATTTATTTATTAAAATAAAAAGTTTCTTAGTTGCAACGATGATGAATTAATTTCGTTTTGTAATTTAAAAATATTTTTATAAAGTTACATAATAAATAAAGATTCATCTCATAACTTTTAAGCAACTTGGCACTATGGTTATGGTCCTTTTACTCAATTTTTTTTTTACTTTCATTTTCAAATATAAAAATCATAAAAATAAATACCTGCCACGCATTTTAATTTTATGATTATAATAAAATAATAGCTGCTATGCAAATACTATTATGACCGTTTATAAAAATATACAATTTTAAGCATAAAATCAGGATTTTAAATTTGATACCAAAAAGATTTCAAAGAAAACTTTAAATTCAAGGATTAATATATGTATAGTAACTTTAATGTTAAAGTTATAATTAATATGTAGTTGTAAAGTAGCTTCGCATGGTTACACAAGAATTTCAATTAGTGATTTATATGTTTGAAATTATTTAAATTTTTCAAAAATTTTTTTACATTTTTTTTTTGACTTTGCTCGCGATTTATAAAATATGCAGCAATTTATACTAAGGTGTTTCTATGATAGATCGAAAGACCTTGTTATTGGCTACAAATGGTATATGTTTCATCTCTGTAGCATTGATATTCATCAAGTTATTACAGTTTAAAGTAACATGTCCATGGGAGGTGTTTTTGACTTTAACTGTAATAACTTGATGAATATCAATGCTACAGAGATGAAACATATACCATTTTGTATCCAAGAACAAGGCCTTTCGATCTATTATAGAAGCATATTAGTAGAAAATCGCTCTATATTTCGTAAAATCGTGAGAAAAGTTAAAAAAATGTTAAAAAACAAAAAAATTTTGAAAAATTTTGTTGGCAGCAAAATAATTTCGACATTTTCCGAGAATATTTTTGGCATTTTGGCATGCCGTAATGCTATAATTCTGGCTAATTTCGGCAACATGTATATAATTAGACCCAAGGTTCTAATATAAAAATGAACCGTATAGTTTTACTTTATTTCTTTTTTAATTAATCAAGTAAATCAATTGAATTTTTTTTTGATAACTTGAGATGTATGTGAAAAGATATTTTTTTTTTTTAAAAAAAAAAAAATACTCTAATTGAAACAGAAAAAAAGAAAAATTAATATTAAAAAAATATGAATATTTGATACACAGCCAAAAGAGGTGCAGAAATGAAAATAATAAAAAGCTAAAGAGTAAGCACGAAGGATTTTTTGCCCGTGTTATTCTGCTATACATAATGTGAATAATATTTCTCGGGCATAATAAAAATTTAAAAATTTAAAAAATCATTGTACATTATGCACCCCCCCCATTTGTTTACTAAATTTATTAAATTCATTTTTTTTTCCCTCGATCATTTGAATGAAATTTTGGTTTTTTATTTAATTTATTTATTAATTTTTTTAAATGAAATGATTCAAAAAAGCTAATCTTTAATTTTATTTACCTCAAAATTAGCCCATTTCTGTTGTAACAAAAATTCACAAGCATAATCCAAAAAGGAACTTTTTTTTTCATTGACTTAATTATAACAAGTATAACAGAGTATAACAAGTACAAGCCATTCCTTATGCGAGGCATTAATCTGCACATAAAATTATTTCATAATATAATAACAAAAAAAAATATATACAACAGCAAAAAAAAAAAAAAAATAATTACGTTACAGATACAAAGACGAAATTTATCCAATATTGCATAATCTTGTTATCAATGGGAAGACGAAAGAAATTTTGACATTAAATACTTTACCTAATATAGTGCAATGAAGTCATGATTAATAATGTTCATTGTTATTTCTATTCTTCATTGTTTTTTCAGAGTGGCGCAAAGACAATTTCAAAACAATGGTGTAACATTTATAACATTTTGGTGAAACCTGTCATTATATTTTAATAACAACTATATTATTATTATTAACAATGTAGATAAGAAAAAATTCAATTCTTTCAATTATTCCTTTAGAAGGATAAAAATTATCAAAGAATGGAGAATTACCCAGAGCGTGTGACGTTTTATTTTCTGTAATGTTTATTATTATTATTATTATTATTATTATTATTATTATTATTATTATTATTATTATTATTATTATTATTATTATTGGTTATTATTGATTATTATTGATTATTATTATTTTTAAATTTTTATTCTTCGGGAATTCATCACGATTAAGGAAAATTCACAACGCAATTATTCTTCTTTTAGAATTCTCGTCCAAAAGGCCCCACATTGTTATTAAATGTCCCCACATAGGTCAACCTGGTCAACGTTAGCCCCCGCACGCCCCATTATCTAAAATTATATGATGCATATTAATGAAATATGTTTAATTGGTTAAATTTGATTTCTCATATTCCTCTTTTAAGGTTCTTTCATTCATTCATTAAAAAAAAACCGCAGTGACGTCTCATCAAATATTTTTTATTACACTGCATAATAGATTTACATTATTTTTTCTTCGAGTTAAGTAAATCTGGTAGTAAATCTTTAGAAAGTTTGGTTAACAACAACAATAACAACAACAAAAACAAAAAAAAAAAACATCAACAAAAGATAATAACCTAAAAGATAGATATGTCATTAAACTCTACTACTACCGTTAATAATAATAATAATACACGTCGAAGTACTATAACTTCAAATAGAAGAGAAATTCTTAACCTTTCGTCTTCCTCTTCCTCCTCATCCTCTTCTTCTTCTTCTTCTACTACTAGACTTCATAGTAGTACGTTTACAGTACCACCACGAACAGTAGCTCGAAGAAAACAAACAATTAAAAAACAGTCACCACTGGATTCACCGACGAACGGTAACCATTCAACCGAAGCGTTTAAAAACTCTCCACCGTTGCTTTTTTAAACTATTTCTTCTTATTTTTTTTTAATTTTATATACATATATATATATATATATATTTATAGTAATTATAATAATAATAATAATTAAAAAAATAAGAATTAAAAATAATTAAAATAATTTTTAAAATAATTAAAATAATTAAAATAATTAAAATTTAATTAAAAATGATTAAAATTAAAGAAAACCGAAAATTGTTTCTCAAGTTTTTTAGCTTAAATAATACTACATTGTTACTACATTATAGACACCGCCAGTGTGACAACTGGCTCGTGCCGCTATGACAGTTCTCTCGGTCTTCTCACAAAGAAATTCGTGAGCCTACTAAAGGAAGCCAAAGATGGAGATTTGGACCTGAACACAGCGGCTACGGCATTAAAAGTACAAAAACGAAGAATATATGACATTACCAACGTATTAGAAGGAATTGGATTAATTGAAAAAAATTCGAAAAATCATGTTCGTTGGAAGTAAGTATTATTTTATAATAATAATATATAATTAATTTGTTATATTTTGTGCGACTTTGATTTTGTTCTTTTTTTTTTTTTTTTGTGATATAATCGCGTAATAAAACATTTAAGATAATTAACGTAATTAATCTAAACAAACAATTATCGTAATTATCACCAATTTATAATAATAAACAATTTATTAGAGGGGCACAATTCCAACAATTAGGATCAAGTTTCCGTCAAGATTATAAACAGAAAATCGAGGAACTTCGAGCAGTCAACGCCAATCTTGAATCGGAAAGTCAAGAACTAGAAAAAGCGGGTTATGATGTCGATATTAGTATTGAGAATATATATAATTCTGAAGAAGCCAAGAGGTAATTCCTTCCTTACCTAATCTATATAATTTATATTCACGATATTTAAAAACAATAATTAGAAATGATAATAATTTGATTATTATCATTCAATTATCATTATTAGATTGGCATATGTTTATCAATCAGAAATTGAAAATATTAATTCCTCCTTCCGAGGAAATATCCTTATTGCTGTGAAATCTTTCTCTACCGTATCTGAAGCTGTTGAGGTATTAAATTAATATATTTTTATATTTGCCTTTTTTTTATTAATTAATTATTAAATTATTAATTAATTAATTAATAAGTTGATAATAATTATCATTTCATTAATATTATTGAATAACTACTAATAATAATTTTATTTATTTTTTTTCTTTTATGGAAAATAAAATAAAAAAAATAAAAGAATGGACATTCCAACTTACCTCATTATCAAATTCACATTCAACCACAAAATAATCAACCAGTTCAAATATTTCAACTCACGGATAATAATAATAATAATAATAACAATAACAACAATAATAATCTGGATCGTCATCTCACCATATCAGACAGTCATTATACAATGGGAAACATGGCACGTGCATTTCCTCAACCTAGTCCACCATTAAATGTTCATGATGCAAATGGACCACTTCGATTCAATATAGATCTTCCATCACCTTATCCTCACTTCTCTCATCATTCATCTTCTTCAACTCAAACTCCTCCTGAAGAAGATTATGATATGTTTGATGTAAATAATACGGAAGATGATGACCATCACCATCACAATCATCATCATCATCATCATCATCTTAATAATCGTCAACATGGTAGTAATCATCATCACCATAATAACAATAATAATAATAATCATCATCATTTAAATTATCCTCATCAAAATAGTAATAATAATAGTAATAATAGTAATAATAATAATAATAATAATAATAATAATAGAAATAATAATAATAATAATAATTCTAATGATCATCATCATCATCGTAGTCATCATCACCATAATCATCATCGTCATTATCAAAGTTATCATCACAATAATAACATTGATGAATCACTTGATTCATCATCTGTTGATAATAATAATAATAATAATAATAATAATAATAGAGGTGATTATGGTTTTGATGTATTGAGACAGGATGAATTGGAATTATTTGGACGGGATCCAAATCAAAGAACAAGAGGAGGACATCGTCCATAATTATATGGTGAGAGGATTATATATATAGAAGAAGAAGAGGAGGAGGAGGAGGATTATATGAACAACACTTTAGAAAAAAAGATAAATAAAAAAGATTTAGTAAAATAGAAAATAAAATAACAAATGTAATAGAAATAAGATAGAATTTAGATAGATACAAAACAGAGAGAAGAAATTATAGAAAGAAGAAATTATAGAGAGAGAAGAAATTAGAAAATACGGTGACGATAAAGAATAATAGTTTGATAAACAAACAACAAATAATAATAATAATAATAATAGAATAATTTTTAATTAATTCAATTGTTATTAATTATTATTATCGTTTATCATTATTACTATTATTATTATTTATTTATTATTTTTCAATATATAACTTTTGTATAATAGATGGACATTGGTTTTTTTTTTTTTTTTTTTTTTTTTTTGAATGTGCAAGGAAACAAAGTAAGGAAGGAGAGAATTGTGCAATTCCTAGAAAGTAATTTTAGAATTATAGAGAGATAGAGAGAGATTTTTTCTTGTACGGTTTACAAATGGAAAACGTTAAAAATACACAAACATATATATATATAAGTATAAAATTACTATTTAATTTTTTTACGTATTGAAAATATTGTAAACATTTTAAAGTATGCATTGATGAAAACTTCAATTAAACATAATAACAACTAAAATAAGATCAGATATTGAATGTAATTTCGAAGTAAATAAACAAATCTTGTAGTAATAATAATTATAAAACTTGCCCTTTTCTGTTTGTATATAAACTTATGTGCTCGTTTTCCGTTCATTATTCGTTATCTAAAAAAAAGAGAAACAACAACTCTTGACACGGGCACGAAGGTATAAATTATTGGTGAAAGCAATAAAAGTATTGCGTGTAACGGATACCTTTGCGATAAACTAGCTCTGGTAGTCAGTCAATTCAAAAAAAAAAAAGAACCCCCTATAAAAGAATAATAATGGTTGGGTGGTCGCAATGATATGCTCAGGCATCATCATTAAACTGCCACTAAAGGAGCTCGTATCTCATTGTACTAACACAATATGTTCGCGGACCTAAGCATTACACGACACTCACGTTACGCATGATGGATTGTATGAGAATAAATAATTTTATAAACTTTCGTAAAGTGAGAAAGGAAATAAAATAATAACTTCAAACAGATTATAAAAAATTATAAGTAAAAAAAAAAAAGTGAAAAAAAAAATAGATTTAATCGTATCGTATAAGTAAACCAATGATATTTTTTTCTGAACCAGAAAGTGATCATTGGTTCTTGAAGCATACAGTATTACGTGGTGAATATAGTAAATATAGAAACTTCTACTCAAGCAATTCCTAATGACTTATTATAGTAAATATTATAGTAAACATTATAATAAACATTATAGTAAACATTATAGTAAACATTATAGTAAATATTATAGTGGAGTAAAATCAATCAAATGAATAATTATTGATCAAAGTTTTTGTCTGAGGGGTAGCAAGCAATGTAATTGATAATCCACGATAAGGAACGCGTGTTTCATGACATAATTACTATTGTTTCAGAAGTCGAGAATTATTGTTATTATTATTATTATTTAATAAATAAAGATTAGAATCATATTATACAAGATTATGAATATGCAAAATAATATCGATATATAAAAAAGTAACCAAGTTTTAATAGATAGTGTGTATTATTATAATATAGAACTTTTTCGTTAATGAAACGTTAATCAACTAATAAATTAAGTTATTGCATCTGCTCGGGATCGAACCGAGGACCTTGTGCGTGTGAAGCACACGTGATAACCACTACACCACAGATGCATTGATGATAAATTCCTCCTAAATCATTTTAAGTAAGTCACTAACAAGTTATCAATATGCGAAATTAATTAATATATAAAGGAAGAAAATTAGTAAAAAAAGTAGTGAAGGAAATTCTTTATAGAAATAATAATGATAATTTAATTTAATTAATTCTTTATTTACTTATTTATCTATATATCCCTAAAATTTTGTTAAAATGATGCATTATATATAATAAGTAAAAATAAAAAATGCCATGAATCGAAAATCTTTGGATATTGTAATTATATATAGAATTATATAATAAAGATAATTATAATAATAATTGAATGATTTATCGTATATGAAATAAGAATAATAAATATTAAAAAAAGAATAAGAGATACACAAAATAAATCTATATAAGAGATATTATTAATATAATATGTACATAATTGTAACGAATAAATAATATAATAATAATAAAAATAAATAAATAAATAATAATAATAATTATTATTATTATTATATTATTGTTAAGTGTTAGGAATATTTTTATTATAAACCGTAGTAATCCTAGAAAAAGTAGATGATGAACCTTTATCACCTAAAATTATATTAATTAAAATAATTATTAGTTAATTAAAAAATCATTAAATAAATAATTTTAAAATAAATTAATTATTATTTTTTTTCATACCATTATTTTCTTCACATTCGGGTGCGTCAATCCAATCGCTAGGAACAACACCTTTTTTTTTTTTAATTTTTTTTAGAATAAATGAATAAATATGAATAAAATGAAATAAAATAGAAAAAAAAAATAAATAGAAATAAATAAATATAGTGAGATATATAATTATGTTGTTGCACCACCTCAATTTCACATATTCCCACACCACATCACATTACTACAATACATTACCACATCACCCATATTAACCATTCCACATTAAATGACAGTTAGTTCATTATTTTGTTTTTACAGTTTCTTTTGAATAATAAGTTGATTGTGGTTCGGGGACAACAACCATCGAATTCATTATCCAACTACTTTCCAAAATACCTGATATATATATATATATATATATATATATGTTTGTGTATACATATTATAAATTATTTATTATATAATATAATCAAATATAATCAATATAATGAATTGAATTAATTGAATGGAATGGAACATGGAATATGTGGAGTATGTGGAATGAGTGGAATATGTGGAATGGTGAATGGGATAAATGTAAAAACTGAGGTACAACATAAATATAAAAATATATAAAAATATTTAAACATATTTAAATATATTATATATTAAAAATGTAACACTTACATGGAAAGAATGTTCCTAAACGTGCGGCACGATTTATCCAATCTGAAATATCAATTTGTACATATTATATATATATATATACATGAATATATGTGGATATATATATATATATACATTTCCATTTAAATAAATATAAAATTCTATATTTCATACTTGGTGCAGGTTTTCCAACTAATCTATTACACAATTCACTAGAGAAATGATTACAATTTCTAATAATGACAATAATAATGATAATAACAATTAATATCTAATAATAAAATAATAATAATGATAATGAAAATAATGATAATGATAATAATAATTTATAAATGTAAACCTTGACAATAAATTATAAGTATTTCCACGCCATTCCATTGATAATTCATCGATAACATTTTTTATCTCTTCTTTATCCATTGAAGTATATCCAATTAGAAATGATTCTCTATTATTATTATATAAGATAATTATATTATATTCTTTTAATATGTTCCTTTAATATATTCATTCAATATAAAGATAAAATTGAACTCACTTGAATCTCACGTTTGGTGGTCCATGCTTTGGATTCATAAAAAAAACACCTGTAGAATCATATTCGTGTCCTCCAAAATTGTATTCTATTAATATATAACAATATAATTAATAATAATATAATTTAACAATTTAATAATTTAATAATTTAATAATTTAATATAATAAATATATATATATTCATCATAATGATCTTTTTACCTTTATTCAATACTTCAACTCCAGAATGAAATACACCTTTAAAAAATAAAATTATCCAAAATATTAAAAAAATTATATATTATTATTTTCTGTTTTATTAAATTTATTAAATATATAATTTACAAACCAACTCCAATCATATATCCAAGATCTGTAATCTTTCCTCTTGGTAACTTTTAGATAAATAGATAAATAGATATATATGTATAAATATTTAATTATTTTGTAATATTTCTAATTTTTTTTTAAAAAAAAATATGTATTTATTTATTTGAATTTATATCCTACCATATCATAAACATTTAAAAATACCTATATAATTATAATAAAAGTGTAAAAATAAAGATATAGAATAATAAATAGATAATAAATAGATAATAAAATGGAATGAAAAGAAATAGGTACCGGATATTTCTGTTCTTTATTTATAAGAGTTTCATTATCATTCTGGTTTTCTTTTCGAGAATTCATTTTTATATTAAGATTATTGATTTTTATTGATTTTTTATTGATTTTTCTACTAGGTCTTTTGAAACACATATATATATATATAGTTTAAGAAGAAGAGTATATTCGAGAAAAAAAAAATATATATATATTTTAAATTTCTTGATGAAAATGATAATAATACCCAAATTAGGGTTACAGAAACTATATAAAAAAAAAATATTCGTGTGTTATGTAATATCAATATGTATTAATATTTTTATGTATACTTACCTTAATTGCAAACTTTAATCACTTGACAGATATTGTTTTTTTGATAGAGAAGAAATCATGATTGAATATCTATATTTCTATAACTGATACAATTTGAAAGAAATCTATTTTTATATTCTTACCTGTTTTTCAATTTAATTTAAAATTAATTTTCAATTCACAATAATATGATAACACCTATTTTAGGTTTATATGTGTTAAACTAATGATTTTTGGCATTGTAAATTAAATAAATAAAGATATATTTTTTAAAATATCTAATCTAATAAAATCTAATAATAGAAATTAGATAATGTATGAGCCAATTATTTACAATTACTGTAATAAAAAAAATAAATAAATGCAAATATAATAAAAAAAAATGCAATTAAAATAAATGTAAATGCAAAATGAAATGTAAATAAAATGAAGTACAATGAAGTTATTAGTAATAAAATGGTAATCTTGTTAATGTAAATTTTTTATCATCTGTTATCTTTTTTATCAATACATTTGATTCTTTTTATTTATACATTTTCTATATCTTATTCATCTTATTCATTTAATATTTTATTCTCGTATCACATACGACACTTATTGACATTTATTTAAAGAACTGGCCAATACTGTGCTATGATCTTAATATATATGAATAAATCAGTAACGTGAATAATGATTTACTAATCTTTAATGGTTATATATTTTAACTTAGAAGAAATAATCTTTTCCTTATACAGTTATAATAATAATAATTATTCTTTCTGTTTTTTTACCTTTTACTTTTTTTAAATAAATAAATGAAAATCCAAACACCTCTTAAAACTCTAATCATACAATCACAATCAATTATACCGAAGACTTAAATTACCACAAGACTTTTAGGCTAAGACCCAGCCTGGAAAGAAGAGGAAAGGAAAGGAAAATGTGTTTTTATGAAATTTATGAAAAAACTTCCAATACCTTGTGGATATAAAAACACGTATATAAAGAAATTAAAAAATTTAGTTTTTTTTTTTCGCTATGTTACCAATAATGTTACTAAATGTTATGACTTTAAGTAAAGTTAGTAAATTTTTTCACTCAAAAATATTTATCCCACGTCGATCGATCATGAAACTCGTCCATATTTTAGAGAAGAGAATGTACAATTTAAATAATAATATAAATAATCAATATATTTATATATATTTAGAAATAATTAATTGTCGACCAAAATTTTCTTCAGAAACAACCAAGCGCAAGTAAATCACGTTCATCACAAAAGTGGGTCATATTTTCTTTAAATATTCCGTGTTACGATTTTAATATAATTCTAAATCCGATTTCATAGTTTCATAGTTTTTTTCACAGTTTTCATAGTTTCCCATATAGAGAAGGTTGAGACAATTGTACTGTGCGAAAATCTGGTGCAAATCTTTTTTCAATTTTAATTTTAATACAACAATTTCGTAAATTTTTATTGTAATTAACCAGTTTTACCCTACAATTAACCAATAAAAACCACGATTAATCAATTATTCATAATTAACACGTGTATAATAATAAAATAATCATTAAATAATGTAATTATAAAATTAAAATAATAAAATAATAAAATAAAAATAAAAATATTGAAATAAAAATATCATTATTTACATCATGTAAATTACATGAATGTATAACAATCGTTCATATAATATTTTATAGGAAAAATCCTTCAATGGAATATTATTTCTCATTTTTTTTTTTTTTAAAAAAAAAAAAATCCACACTTTTTAATTGCAACGCGAACACACTAGTTTTTATTTTAGGAGTCACTCACTCTCTTCTAAATAACTATTATTATAACTATTTTAATGTTTATTTAATGTCCTTAATGCAAAATCATCATCAATAAAAACTCCGCGTAATCAAGTGATTCCTTAATTGATCATGACGATATGGTACATAAATTTGAGTCAAATTTCAACAATAGACTTTTTTTTTTTTTTTTAAAAAAAAAAAAAGCGGAAGTGGCTTATTATTTTTTTCTCTCTTTTTAACCTTTTTAACTCTGACCTGAGTAATTGTTTTATTTGGGAATAAATATTTTGACTTTTTATTTTTATTTTTATTTTTATTTTTTTTTAAAAAATTTCCTCCTCCCTCACACACACTTTTTTATATATACCAAAAAATAATAATAATAACGAATAATAATCAACTGAATAGTAATCAAACGAACAATAAATAATATCAAGTTTTTTGATTTTTTTTACAAGATATGACTGTTACGCGAGCGCGCTCAAAAACTAATAATAGGTAAACTATTAAAAACAAAACATAGAACTTTATTTCTCATTTATTTTTTTTTTTCGTTTTTTTTTTGATCGATCGATTATATTATTATCGTTAATATACATATTTAATATATTTAATATATTCAACACATATTTTTATATAATTTTTTGTAAAATTATATTAAGTTCCTCTAAATTATCTGCTGCTGCTACTACGAGCACAAATAGTAATAAAACAAATAATAAGCAAAAACAAAAACAACAACGTCAAACCAGGAGTGGAAGAAAAGTTGCCAATTATCATGAACCTTCTTCTTCCTCTTCCCCTTCCTCTACCTTTTCTTCCCCTCCTTCTTCTTCGGAAGATTCCAGTGAAGAAGATCGTTTAATGTGTGATACTGATATCAACGACAATAATAATAATAATAATGATCATCTTGTAACGACGAATATAATTCCTCAATCATCGGCAGCATCGGCATCACCTGCATCTGCTGTAGTCAAAGGCAAAAAACCAATAAAGAATGATCAACAGGTCAATAATAATAATAAAGAAGTTATTCTAGATTAAATAAGTAAAAGAAAAGAAATCAAAATATAAAATTTTATCTGTTATTATTAATAATGATATTTTCTTTTCTCTAATAAAAAAAAAAAAAAGTCCAAATTTAGTGATGATAATTCACATTCAAAATTAGATGATGCATATGGTATTTACTCAATTTATTCCGTTCTTTATTCATTCAATTACATACATTATTAATTAGCCAATAACAACTTTATATTTATATCTATTATTTATTAATTATTTATTCATTTATTATTATTATTTATTATATTATTTATTATATTATTTATTATTTTATTTATTATCATTATTATTTATTATTATTATTTACTACAGATAGCGAACAAGAAATCAATAAGAACAAATTTAAATTTCATATATTTACTAAAAGATTTCTTTCTTATGATAAAGGTAAAAATAAATTTTAAACTTAAATTATTTATACATTTATATTATATATTTTACATATTTATACATTTTGCACATATTTTATTACATTTACATTTATAGAAAGAAACGAAGATCAACAAAAATTTGAACAAGAAAACAAAAATGCATCTGAAGAAATTGACGAATCACGATTAAAAATTCAATCTACCAAATCCAATGATGAAAAAATTCTAAAAGAATGTAATGAATACGAATCAGAAAATTTGGAATTGACGAAAATGATTGAAAACATTAAAAAAGCATTAATTCAATTGGAAAGAGAAATAGGTCCAACCGTCAGATCATCCGGTGTGAGATTAGAAGAAACCGATAATATAGTCGATTATGTTCTAGATTTTCAAAGGAGAGTTGTTGGTGGTTGTCTTTTACAACCTTAACAAATAATCTATTTTTTCATTTTTTTCATTTATTTAGTTTTCTTTGTCCATTTTTTTTTATTTTTTTCGTTTTTTTTAACATTTTCTTTCGTTTAGTTAGTATATGATAGATAGATTGTTTACGCAATTTTTATATGATCAATTATTATTATGAAACGCAGCTTAAAAAATCGAATACCTTTTCATTCCTTTCATCCCTTTCATCTCGTAAATACAATTATTTACTACGATATTATTATTATTTTCCTTATTGTCATTCTCATTCTCTTACTGTAATAATATTTTCGCATTATATTTTCACAATATATTTAACAACGTATTGTAGTATACTCTTTTCCTTCTTTCGTACCTGATTATTATTATTATTATTATCATTTCATTTCATTTTTAAGTAAGTATCCCTAACAAGAAAAAAAAAAGAAGCTCAAAACCAAAATTTCTTCTTCTTTTTGTATATGTAAAAAAAGCAACAACAAAAACTATATAATTTGTAAATTTTTTTTTTCTTTTTCTTTATAATTTATAGAAATTTCTTTTTTGTGTATATTCTTTATATATATATATATTCTCTGTATGGATAAAATAAAATATGGATAGTAATAATATTAAAAAGAACGCTTCCGTTTTCGGAGTAACTTAACAAGACATTATTCATTTTATATCCAAATCAATATTAATACATCAATATGAAAAAACAATTATAGAGCAAAGCTAACGTGGATAGAAGATAGAGTGCAAGACCAATTTATTATTATTATTTTTGATTGATCCATAATTGGAAGACGATCAGAAAATTTCACGTGAGAGATTGAGTGAGGTGACTAACCAAGATTTATACGTAAATTTCTATAAATGGACAAATTTCAGGGATATTTAGGTTAGGGTCAGTCAGGTAGGATATTTATCACCCGCTTCACGCCCTTCGAATATCGATTTTTATAAATAAACATTATTCATCACCCGATATTTGTCACCAATATGTACAAATCTTGGGGTAGTTGAGTGAGGTGACAAATGTTGGGGTAAGAAAGGCAAAAGTATCGGTTTTGATAGATCTATGTTATTTTTTTGATACTTTAAGTAACGCGTGCAGCTAATTATTCGATGTCACGTGGTATTCACATTCTCTATATCACGTGAACATGATATATTAGTTGCATCACACTTAAAAATAAGTGTATCAAAAAACTAACCATAGTACATTTACGTGTTATCAATGACAAACACTAACCCAACCCATGCATTTGACGTAATACTCGTGAGGACATATCTGTACCAGGGTATAAATCAAAGCGCGATATTGAATCATGTGATGATCAACAAATCAGTTATTTACTTTTTTCAAAATAGACAAGATAAACAGGCGGTATGATTGGCTTAATTATATAATACTGATCAGAAAATATTTGTCGTTCGATTTGAATTTTTTTTGTTTCTCACATACTTCCACGAAGCAAAAAAATACATTCTTGGTCTCTCAAAAGATTACTGCTATAACAAACTACAACCACAACTCTTATCACTTTACCTACGAAAATATGGGACGTTACACTATTCAAAAGAATCTAGTTGATGGTACCACTGTTTACAAACGAAGGTATAATTCTTTTTTTTTTTGAAAAGATATAAAAAAAAAAATGATGGTAAAAGTTTGGTAAAAGTGATGAAAAAGATGTTAAAATCATTGTATTAATAGTCCTCCTGCCGTCGCTCGTCCTCCCGTCCTTCCCGCTCATGCTCAAGGCGCAGGCGATCGTCCACGATTCCAAAGATTTCAAGCAGGTATGTTTGCCGAAATTTTTATACAAGACATAAAAAATTATGTATGAAACTATAATCTATAAAGATTATTATGAAAATTAGGAATATGTTTATATCGCGAAATTATTATATTTATATTTTATTATTATTATTATTATTATTATATTTATATATTTTTTATATATTATTATATAAGTCCGTCGCCAAGCGAACCGCTATGAACCTTACGTCAGCTCTGGACTTCGCGGTGAAAGAAGAAATCAAGGAATGGAGTTCGATGTTTCGACCGCTTACCAAGTTGGACCAAATGGAGGTAGACCTGCTCGCAGCCGTCAATCCGTAAGTAAATTAAAAGTGATTAAATTACATATTACATTTGTTGTACATGTTTCGTGGAAAATTTTCAGATACATAAAATGTTTTAATTAACGTTGTGTACATGTAAATACATGTAGGTACACTTTCAAGTTGGAATTGCAAATTTCAACACTGGCCGCGACACCATCGCGTACGCAAATGATGAGACCGAGCATTATAAGTTGAACCGCGCAAAGTCCGAAGATAAGATCTATAAAAGAATCGAACCACTGGTCCTCAAACCAAGCCGTTATCGAGTTAAAAAGCTTTCCTCGTCTACGTACCTTGATTTGATGCGTTGGGAACTCAGCGTTGATCATGGAATCGATGTGTCGCCCGTCTCGCTCCCTGAAGAAGAAGAAGATGATGAAGACGATGAAGAAAAAGAAGATGACGATGAAGAAAAAGAAGATGAAGATAAAGGAGATGAACAATAAATGACGATGACTCTTATTCTATATATATTTGTGGTTTTTGTTTAAATTTTCCTTTGCTAATGTTAATTTACAAATTTTTATATATTTAGATATCAGGAACGGATACGAAAAACGAAATGATGATTTATTGGACTGACTGATCTGAACTATCTTTTATTTTTTTATTATCTTTATTATCTTGACTTTTTTGCTTTTTAATTAATTACAAATTTTATAGTTTTTATTAAATATTAGTTAACAGTAAACGATAAAACGAGCGATGAGGAGAAAACGATGATTGAATATCCTTTGGTTTTATGTTTTTCGCTTTAAATTAAATTTATTAATTAATTTATTAAATTTTTAGACGATACCTGGGCGACAATCGAATATCCTTCACGAACGAAAAAATGACTATGAAGATCGATATCTGGACTACAACCGAATATCTTTTTATTTATATTTTTGTCTGGTTTCTGTTTTAGATTTGTGCCTATTAATTTATAAATTTTTTATTTATTAAAGATTAAATATCAACGAAAAGAATGACCGATGAGAAGATCGATATTGGGCTACAATCGAATTACCTTTATTTTTCTATATCTTTGTGTTTTGTTTGTTATTTTCAATCTTCTTTTTATTAATTTGAGATTTTTTTTTTTTGAATATTAAGGTGGCAAACGATCGATGAAGGAATGATTATCGGGCCAAGCTAAACACATCTGCCGAATAAATTGACATCAAGGCGCCGAAACGAATTTGTGACGATTTTTATTTTTTATTTTTTTTTTTTGTTCAAATGTTAATTCATATTTTCGATTACTTTATTTTACAATATCAAAATGTCATGTATTTTCTACTATGTATTTGATCTATATGTATTATCTTCGATGTATTTTCTATTATTATTATCATCAATAAAGAACAGTGAAGGGTGCTTCACTATAATTTTTTACACTTTATATAATTATTTTTTTTTGTGATTGTTTCGTTGATATATTGATCTTAATTATGTGGTCTTAAATTTTACGGTCTTAAATTATTTCGGTCCATAACAACAAAAAAAAAATCAATGCGTTCCAAAAGATAATATACATATTAAAGTTATAATGACAACGAAAGTGACATATTATTTAGATTATCTTATTTAAATCCGAATAAATTTGAATAAATTTGAATAATTCGATGTTTCCCTCAAATATAATGTTTGCAAGTTATAACTAGGAAATGGTAAACCATTATAAGTACGGAGCGTCACGTAATATTGTGACATGTGATCGTTATCTAAATGACCATCCGAATTCAATCTGGATTCAATCAAATCCGAATTATAAATCCTTATCCAGGATCAACCAAGGATGGATCCTTAAAATGAGGATAGATCCTAAAAATAAGGATGAATCCTAGAAATAAAGAAAAATAATTATAAAATTCTAAAAATAAAATTTTTTTTTAATATATTACACATGATTAACATCTAATTTTAACCAATAATAATATATAATTTTTAAGATCGCATGTTATTTTATAACGGATTTTAAAAATCTACTACTTATAATGTCCTTCGCTATGCTCCGGGCAATTATGAATTTATGGAACTAGGAAAACGGGAACCATTGTAAGTCCGGAGCAATAATTGTGTAATTATTGTCATGTGTTCTTTATCGTTATCTAAAAAATCATTTTCCAAAATTACGTTTTGATATTTTATATTTAAAATATCACGTAATTTTTATTTACTATTAAAGTCCTTATTTGAATTTATACCATTTTCTATATTATTTATAATAACTTAAGATATTTGGTAAACGAAAACTTCATATCGCACCAGTGGGGGTAGTGTATTTATCACCACCCTTCGAATATCATTTTTTATTAGATATATATCCTAGGGACTTGCATATTTGTCACATAAATTATTTGAGGATCACATGATTCGTTATTGATAAATCACGTGATAATACATATATTAGTTGCATCACGTTACTCAAAAATAAGTCCATATTTGGCTAAAGTATCGTTTTTGAGACACCTATGGTTATTTTTTTGATACATCAAATACGTGTGACAAAATTTGATATATCAAAAAAAATAACCATAAATAGGGGTAGGCTAAAGCGGAGTAGAATCATGTGAGGTGATTTCGGGTTAAGGCGGAAGTGTGATCGTATCACATGT